TACATTTCAATCTTCACCATTATTGTGATTCATTTAAAGAATGGAATACTAACGCAATGGTCGGACACCTAGTAGAGACACTTGTTTGTTTGTAGACGGGTTGAGTCTCGGCACAAACAACTCTTGTAAACCTCTACAAAGACATCAGAACCATACTCTTAATTCTCACAATTCATCTTTATCTTCCGATTAACTTCATGTTGATACAGGAGTTAATTGAGTTACCAACACAAGTATAATAAACTAGATGATTAACTACATGTTCAGATCCTCGAGCTAAAGGGTGACTGTTACATTTGATAATTTATTATATTTTGTCTAGAAAAATCCCTTGGAAAGAATCCTATATTCTATCCAGGAAATCTCATAACTTCAAATCTTAAGGCTTTTAGTCACTTGGTCTCTGTCACTACTTACTTCGAAACGCCAACAATAGTTCCCTATGGATTTGACTCCGAACTTAATCGGATTATTACTACAGCTTAACCGCTTGCACTTGGGTGTACATATTTCGGATTAAGTCAAATTTTTGGCGCCGTTGTCAGGGAACCATAAAAGGTGTTTTAAGTAAAAGGTGAAAAGGCCTTCATTTTTGAATATATATTTTTGATTTATTGTGTAGAATTCTTATTTTATGTCTGAGGATGATACTCACTTTCAAAATTTGCCAAAAGAATCTGTAGGATCTGTAAATCAATTTGGACCATCTTCACTCAGATCAGTAGTAGACTCTTTTGAGAATAGCATGGCAAATAATAAGAGATAAGGGGAAGATCCTGTGAGAGAGGGAGAAGTTCCTAAAATTCGAACTCTGTGGGATTATTTGCATCCCATAAGGAACAGTGTCCCCTCTTATTTTGTCTTTCTTGCAAATGCACCCCTCTTTACTATAAAGGCAGGGACAATGCAGCTACTAACTCAATTTCATGGACTCAAAGCAGAAAACTCATATCTGCATATAAAAGATTTTGATGAGATATGTGGAACATTTCAAGACAATTCTGAGCTGGCCAAGTTGAAACTTTTTCCTTTCTCTTTAAAGGACAAAGCTAAACAATGGCTAAATTCTTTAAAAATCCTTTCAAAACCTAACTGGCAGGCATTGCAGAATGAACTTTTAAGAAAGTTTTTTCCTCTACACCTCACCAATGCACTCAAAAATCAAATCATGAATTTTTCGATCAAAGAAGGAGAAATTTTTTATCAAAGTTAGGAGAGATTCAGGGATCTTTTCCAGTCTTGCCCACACCCTGTTTTTGAGAATTGGACTTTGGTAGAATTTTTCTATAACTCCTTGCCCACTAGATTACGTCAGTTTTTCAAAATGATGACTCAAGGAGAGTTCATGGAAAAAAGTCCAAATGAGGCATTCAATTTTTTTGACACTATATCTGATAGTTCTCAGATGTAGGACTCGGCCTCTCTTTTCACTGTTGAAGTCAAATCATCTACTTCCCAAGGGGGGTAAGTATGTCTTGAAAGATTATGATGACCTAAGAGCAAAAATGACTACCTTGTCTCGAAAGCTGGAAGCTCTCGAGATAAAAATGTGCATCAAGTTGATGTTGTCCCTTCCACAGAACAAGTGTGTGGGATTTGTGCACTGACAAGACACCCTAGTGGGGAGTGTCCTACCATTCTGGCATTCAAAGAGGTCTTGTTGGAACAAACAAACGCAATTTTCAACTTCAACAAGCCTTACTCTAACCTATATTCTGAAACATACAATTTAGGGTGGCAAAATCAACCAAACTTCTGTTGGAGGAACACATAACCAACTTCCATGAACCCACAACAAGGTTCACAACCACCACCTCAAGGACCTCCCGCATATCAACCATACCAACCACCACAAAAAAGAAGCCTTGAAGACACACTAAATAAGTTCATACAAAGCCAAATGAACTGTAACAATAGTTCCATTCAGACTTTTACTGATTTCAAAACCCTGACAACTCAGTCTTTCAAGGATCTTAAAAGTCACATCCAAAAGTTGACCCAATCCATGACCACACATGTGAAGGGCAAGCTTCTTGCCCAACTAAAACAACCGCAAGACCAATTTCATGTGAAAAATCCTTCAATCATGGAAATCCCAAATGACCATGCCCAAGTTGTCATTACCCTGAGAAGTGGCAAGGTGGTTAACAAAACCATTAAGCCTTTGTTGATGAAGAAGCCAACTTGTGGCTTTAAAATTATATTTTTTGTAAAACAATTGTATAATTTGATTTGAACTTGTAAATTGTATTAAGAAGGCATGTAATGAACTCTTATGAATTAAAATTTGTGTATATAAATGTATGAATGAGTGTGAAATTGATTTGGCTAGCCAATGGTTTGAGGTTGGAAAGAATTTGGGAAAACTGGGCCCAGGTACGGGTACCTAGATGACTAAGTATCGGTACTATATTGTTGAATGGCCCAAGTACCAATACCTCGACATACGAGTACCAATACCTGAACTCCAGTGGGATCAGATACCAGTGCTATGACATGTAAGTACTGGTACCTAGTAAACAATAGGCTCAGGTACTGGTACCTAAGTGATTATGTACTGATACCTGGCAAATTGAAGTGACTTGGTAGGCAGAAGGCTCAGGTACCAGTATCACTTGTAAGAGGTACCGGTACCTCTTTCAAAAAAATTCAAAATTTAAATATAACTTCGACAAGCCTTAAGATCTTGAACCCTCTTGTTGAAATGGTATAATTGGTTAAACATTATATCCTAATTGATAGGAATGAACCTTGGAATGGTCAAATGGTTGATATGTGTACAAGTTATGTTTGGGTAGTGCTCTGGTACAAGGAAGACTCTACCCAAAGTTTGTAATGATTATGATCCCGGTAAATAGGGTATAACGACATGGTATCGGGTTATGCAGTTTTCTCGGGTATATTTCTACCGATTAATAGTGATCAACGATTTAAAAAAAGAACCCTAGATTTTGGGACATCACAATTCACATATATATAAACATGGAATTGTATATCTAAAATATTTGCAATAAATATTAAAGAAAATAAAAAAATTTATTATTAATATCACTGCACAAATTTAAATATTTATAAATTTAATTATCATTGACCTTTTATTACTTTTATAAATTTATTGTCACTACTAAAATTTAGAATTGCATTACCACTACCCAAATTTATTATAAATGAGTTAACAAAATACTCTTTGACTCATTAGATATAAGTTGAGGATAAGAGTCAATAACATAACTATGGTTAGAATGTCAAGTAAAGGCAATGAGAAACTAGGACTAAAATGTCTCTCTAAATTTGATTGACCATTAATGTTTGTAATGAATATGAACAGAAGTCTCTCATGAAAACAAAATTAACACTTTAAAGACTAAATTTAGCAAATCAAAACTCAATGAACCAAATAGAAACCTCATCAATACTTTAAGGGTGCGATTTACAATTCACCCTAAAATATACGTTCACCATCACGATGATGTTACGGAAAGAAATTTGTCAAATTACTGATTTCATGAGAAAAGTTCTAAACTCTTATGAAGTAGAGTTTCATGAGAAAATAACGTCTCAAAACTTTAATAGAAAAAAAAAAGAGATCCTCAGTCCAGATAAAAGAATTAGATAATAGGTTTACTTCTGTGATTGACGTGTATATATTTGCTCTGTATTTATTTGATCACTTTAACAAAATTATGAAAAAAAAATTGAAATTAAAACCGAGTCAAAATATTCCACATACAACACAGATGTGTGCACAATCTAATCCATTATGTCTTACCTTTGTATGTTGTGATGGAAAAATAAAAGGATAAAAAGATAGAAAATTAAAAGAATAAATAAAATATCATATTTAGTAATAAAAAAAATAAATAGATAGACTTTCCTTCCAACTAACCAAAATTAATCCCTCTAAAATAAAAAACAAAATGAATAAAAAATTAATTATTTATATTGAATATATCTTATTTGTCTATATATCCTTTGATATATACATATATTATGTATACATTAATTTCATATATAAATAGAATGATAAAATATGTATTTATATTTTTTTTTAAAATTAATATATATTTATTTTTCATCCATTCTACCAAACACAAAATATATATATATATATATATATATATAGATATATATTATTCCTACCAAATGGAACATAAAAGACAACATAAAGAGAAGCCTATTTGCTGTAGTAAAACAAAGACTACTTCTCACACCCCTAAGAACAGGCCATACCAATCGGAACCCCCAAAAAAAAAAAAACATTTTCTCCACTAGACGAGGATTGGCTCTTAACAAGAGAATTATCATCAATAGTTAAGAAAATAAATAACACGCTACATTTCTCATAAAACTAAATCAAAGAACAAATAGGACAAAAGTAGATTCAAGAAGCCCTTAATGATTTAGACCCAGCCAATTTGAATACTTTGGTATCACTGATCTAAAGGAGGGCTTTTGACTTTTGACTATACCACAAGAAGCATCAGATACCAGAAGAGATCTACGTAGAATTATAAGAGGTAGAAGCAAAAACTCGGGTCAGGAATGATAATCAAGGTTTAGGAGAGAGGCACAGATTCAGAGCTCTTGAGCTACCACTTGTGTTCTTAAAGTTACTATCAGGTGGCTTCTATCACACTTATGCATCACTGTCTGCAGGCATAAGAGCACGAAACATATTTGATGTATTCTAGAATCACCTCCATAACCATTGAAAATTGAAATAGTCCCCTAGCACTGTGTCTCACTTCTAATTCCGATGTTCAAGTAGTGAATTATTCAGCAGTATGGAGGAAATTTAAGTAAAGGTATCTTGAGAATTTAATTTAAGTTTGCATAGTTCTCGTCTCTACACCACACTCGCAGTAATTTGGAAAATGAATTTGAAACAGAAACCAAAAAAGAAAACCACTACATGCATACCTATAAGAAAAAGAAAGAGGAAGACAATGACATACCAGTAAGGATTTTAAAAAGATAATAATCATGAAAATGATAAATATACTCGGCATCCAAGGTTGTAAACGATTTCCAGTGTGACGTGAGATGTATTCGAAAAGGAAAAAAGAAAAAGAATAAATTCACAGCCTCATTTTGCTAGGCTCTTACGGACGAAAATTTTCAAATATACTACAATGCCCACCCCAATATTAAAAACTACTACCCGCTAACAAATTTAAGTGGCACTTCAATTGTTCTCAGCAGTTGCTGCACACATACCTTCGCCTCCATCAAGGATTTCTTCAGGCAAGAGCACCCTGAAAACAGCGTAGTGGTGATTTAAGTTTTTCTCTCCTTGTAACCTGTGAACACTTCCCAGGGCACCAGCTGTGGAATTTGGGAAAGCATAAAATATTCGATTGATTCTTTGATGAACAAGTGCCATAGCACACCTATATCCAGAAATAAAAGCATGACATCGGACATAAAAAATTGGATATTAGTCAAGATTCAGATCTGTGTGAGAGGGAGGATATTTTGAGTGCAACAAATTATTCGTTGATTCAAAGCCTCCTCAAACTGTTATTACATGTAAATTTCCAGGAAATGATCTATAGAGCAATAAAACCTGTTCCTATATCCTTCTTGGGGACAAAGGAAACACATACAATTATTGGTTTTACAGCTTAAACTCACCAACAGTATTTTTCAAAGTAAATATATTAACTGCCCAAAAATACTAACTAGTTCAGCAACACCCGTATAAGATTGTGTTGACCAAAAATGCTAGAAGAAGCCATTAAAAAAAACTCTTGATGACAAGCATGCCATGTATAAATGATTCCTCAATTGCCAGAACAATAGCGGTTCCACACTCACTAAATAATCTAAAGAGGGAAGGAAAAGGGGTGATGGGAAGCAAATCCACAGGATTATGCAGAAAAATGTTTGCAGACATGAATCCTGAGACATAGAAAAAGATTCAATTACCCCCAGGAGGAACTGCAACAGCTATTTCAAGTTCGTGGACATTGCAATGTAAACATGTTACTGAGAGTAGAACTAGACAGCAAGCCCACTCGTATTCACTCTCTCGAATATTCAAGTCCAACTTTGACATTTCACTTACCAAAGCAAAATAATTACTTCCGCACGACTCAAATTGTGTTAAGTGACTTGTGAGAGTACCCAACCAGTCCACAGGCAAAGGCAAGTCCTACTTTAATGAAGTCCTCAATCCAAAATTACACTCCCTTTACCGTTTTCTAACTAAATAGAACTTAAGAAATTGAAAAAAAAAAACCCAAATTATGTATTAATTGCAAGTTATAAAAGCTGATATAGTGAGAAATAAAAAACTAAAATCACAGGTGTACAATGAAAATTCAGGTTAATGAACTCACATTGTGCAAGGCTCCCAAACAAGGTAGATGTCGTCACCAGTACATAAATAAGGTCTGACTGACTCGGAATGAAAACCAATACCGTGAAAATCCAGAAATTTATCATCCTCAACCTGAAACAGCATGTGCAGCAGTGATGATAGCATCCACAAGAAACTTCGACATTTCATCTGACTATTCTAGAAAGGAAATATTTCATATATACCTACAGTCCTACACACACACACACACATACGAATGATAATAACTAACCACTCAATAGCAATATTGTCCCACCAGAAGGTTCTAACAGGAACCAAAAAATTAGACCAGAATCACGATTCAGGTCAATAACTCATCCCATGAAGTGCATAAGATGATGCAGTCTTAAGAAATTCTCAAGCTGCTCCACTTATGGAAACATATGAGTAATCTCCCATAAAGAACATACTCCTAAATTTGTTTCGTATTTTACCTGCCACACACACTGTATGGTTTTCAAAAATTAAGCTCGATATTGAAAGGTTGTAAAATATGACGAAACCAGGTAGCTTACATTGGTAAGACGAGTTCTATGTCTTTTCAAAGGGGGGCTTGTTTTTGAAAACTGCATCGAATGTGCTTGAATAACCTTATGTTCAACGTGTCCTGAAGCAGGAAACAGACACATATCCCTGGCAGCAGAATTTTCAATAGCTACAATAGCAGCGTGTCGTAAAGGATGCCAAAAACAAGAACTTGGACGTAATTCTTGCTCCACCCACCGACCGGGGTGTAAACAAGAAACGTCGGATGACAACTGTTCTAGATTATCAGAAGAACAATTTGAAAGCGAAGATACATGGTTGTCTACTCCATTGGCAATTGGACAATAAGGAGTGGCCTCAGGATGTTCAAAGCAGCCTGTTTCTGCACTGGTCTCATTAACGGAAGTGTTCGAGGACAAGACTTGGTCACATGCACTTGCAATCACCTGCTTGGTTGCTGGATCCACAATAACAGCAGCATTGACCACCTATAAAGAAAAGGCAGGTTAGGACTGATCACCAATCACAGACAGCATTACTTTGAAGAGATGATATCAAGGAAGCATGCTTTATCATGAGCTTCTCTTAGGCGGCAACTTTGCAATGCGGTAATCAATACAAATGTTGGGCCAGTTCTTAAGCGGCCCCATGTCTGTCCCAACATCAAATATTTAAGCCATTGGCCGTAGAATTAGAGCACATGTGCATATCAATGATTAGGAATTTGGCATGACAGCTTAATTCAGTAAAAAAGAGAACTTCTAAGGTGTGCTTTTATCAGTTATCAAAATCTGCAAGTAGCACGCCAAACTTGGAAAAGTTAAACACAAGTTCAGAAAAATGACTAAGTACATCCAAAAGTTAGAGCACATAATACGGATAAAAGATGCCTTCTATAGCTTTTCTTAGTTAGCTATATCATAATAATATGTACAGGCCATTGCCTTGGGAAGAAAAGCTATTGTCATGTAACATCACTCCCAAATGTACAACTTCACATCACTACCTTACAGTGGAACTTTAACTTCAACAATTTGGTGACAACTCCAAAATGTTCCTTCTTCTCAGAACAATATCGCCCCTGGAAACAACTAGGCATGCCAACCACCAATTTAAATATTTTCTTCTCCATGTTATGTTAGATGTGTTTTTAGCTTAATGGTATTTTTGGTACTTTGTGGTTATATATAAATTAGGATGTAGCTATCTCTTCTTATAATATTCTCCTTTTCTTTCATTCTTCCTCTCTCTTTCTTTAAACCTTAACTTCTTCATAATCTAACTTGTTATCAAAGCATTTGATCGAATCTAACGTCTCAAAAGTTTTCAAAACTCATCGAAAATATTCCACAGTAAACAAAATTGGTCACTGTCAAAGTCATGCGCCAAACATGTTAGAATTTTTTTGAAACAACCATGAATAGATTCGAACTGGAATCGGGGACAACCATGAATTGTTCAGTGATTGTTTCCGTACTCATTGTATCTTTCAAGAACTAGAATCGGAAAAAACGATTGGTAATAGTAGAGCACGTGGTGGTCTGTTCTCCTGGATGAAGCTTCTCCTCAGTCTACCAGTCCGGACAAATGGTGTTTCAACCCTCTGGCTCCTACATCAATGACATAGATGTTTGGGGCATCCCACATTTAGTGATATAAATTGGGATGTAGCTATCTCTTCTCATAATATTAGAATTTTTTTGAAACAAGCATGAACAAATTCAAACTGGAAACGGGGACAACCATGAATTGGTCGGTGATTTTTTTTCGCACTTATTGTATCTTTCAAAAACTGGAATCTAGAAAAACGATTGATAATAGTAGAGCACATGGTGGTCTGTTCTCCTGGGTGATGAAACTTCTCCTCAGTCTACTCATCAAACTCTCTGGACAAATGGTGTTTCGGCCCTCTAACTCTTACATCAGTAGCATAGACGTTTGCAGAATCCCATATTTGGTGAAGTAGTGTAGTAAACAATTTTTTGTTCGTGATATTTGTGAATTTATCAAGCACAAATGTTCACCTTATCCTACTACTACTAATAATAATAAAAACACTACTCCTTTTGTCATTATTCATTTTAAAGTGCGGGGACCTTCTCATGTTGCATCTCTCTCAGGTTATCGTTGGTTTGTCACTTTTATTGTTGTTATTCACATCATACTTGGGTTTACATACTATGCACCAAATGTGAATTTTTCTCGTGCTTCCGATCTTTTTATAAAATGGTGGGAACCCAATTTGATGTCAAAATCAAAATCCTTCGAAGTAATAATAGATTTGAGTACATTGATGAAGAATTTCGCTATTACCTCAATGAGTGGCATTCCTTATCAAACCACTTGTGTGAGTCATGGTTCAACATCACAATATTCGACAATAGACTCAAAGGCTACTGATACACATCAGTCACAGTTTTGTTGCTCGCTATTGGCCAATACGCTCAAAATGCTAGATAGAAGACCAAAAAAAATTTCAAAATTTATAAAAAAAAAATTCAAAATTTTAAACAACATGCAAGCAATACATTCCCAAAATACATTATTTAACACATTGAACATTGTTAGATAAAATATAAGGTTGCTATTGAAAGTTTTTATCATCATTAGTAGTTAGGTTTAATTTTTTTTATATTTAAAAATACAAAATGAAAATATTTATCCATAAATTATAAATCTAGTGCTATTTAACATTTAGTTTGAAAGAAAAACTTAGAAATGCAAGTATATCTAATTATATTTTTTTGACCTAATATATATCTAATTATGACACATAAAACTAAATTGTTATGAGACAAATTTACAAAAAAGTTTTTACCCACCCAAAAGTAATTAAAAACAAGCTGGTCAAAAATTAAAAAAATAAAATTCTAGACTCTTAACACAGATTGCCTCTGTGTTTGCGATTACGTCAAAGAGACGCTTCATCTTCAAGACAAACAAAGAAAGAGATAGAGAGAAGAAAATGTGGAGAGAAGACTAGTGAAAGCATGATTGATTGCTCTATTTCTCTGTGTGTTGTGTGACTGTGAAGAAGATTTCACAGGTACCATTCCTTTTCTACTTCTGGGTCTCTGATTTTCTATCATTCCTTTTCGATTTGAATTTTTCTACAAAGTTGTTAGAAATCTTTTCGTATAGATTTCATCTTTTCTTTAACAGTTTTTAAACCCAGCCCGAACATCAACCCGACAAAAGAACTCGGTCAATGGGTCACTAATTCAACCGTGGGTCAATCGATCGAACCAGTCATATAATTAATAATAAAAAATAATTATTAATAACAAATATACTAAAAGATTATAGTAGTTACAATTTATTTTATGTTATAGTAAGTAAAACAAAAAGACAAAATTTCCCCATTTCATTAGTATTCTACTAGGTATTAGAAAATAGAAGGAGAGCTAGAGCAATTTAGAGTCATTTTAGACACTACATAAAATATCCCATATCGACAACCCACAAGAAAAGACAAGGACTTTGTGCTTATAAGAAGAAGAGAATCTCCTCCTGTGTTGAGTGGTGGCCACGGCTTGAGAGCCACGTATCAAGTTCTATAGATGAGGCAAGCCGAGTGGACAGGTTGAAAATCAGTTTAAATGTTTGATTAAGTTTGAGACAATCTGAGAAAGAAATAAATTTGTCCAGTTTTTGCAAATCGTCCCGTTTGCAACGAGTTTGAATGATTTTAAGGAAAGTAAATTGTTCAAATGATCTAATTTAAAACTAGCCCAGTTTAGGTACCGATTTGCCAGTTCTCCGGGTTAACACGTCAAGCCAGACCGGCTTTTAAAGCACTATTTTCTTCTCCCTTTCCCTTTTGCACTGGATCTCATTTTTTTTTTTAAATTTGGAGATTTTGATAAAAATTTTACCATATCGGTCTGATTCTAGTCCGAGTCAGACCGATCCAACTCCGAGTTGTACCGATACAACTAATTTATTCTTGAATCAACACCGATTCAGGTAAAACTCATGATATTTGTGTATTACGTATCGATATCGAATCAGTGATGGCCCAGTCGTATTGGACTTGGCCAATACTTTGAACTATGGTGCAAGTGCTCCAAAACAAAATAGTGTTGTTGAGCAAAAAATCCACCATCTTCCTGAGGTTGCTCATTTATTAATGTTTACTATGAATTGTCCACAATATTTTTGAGGAGATGTAGTTCTTAGTGTTGTTTATCTTATTAATCATCTACCTTCAAGAGTTCTTCAATTTAAGTCACCGAATGTCTTTCTGAGATTTTTTCGGTTCCTTTTACTACTTTTACTAGTTCCCTTTCTCCTAAAATTTTTGGGTATTTTTGTTTTGTACATGACTACAGATCATTTAGGGAAAAACTTGATCCTAAGATTTTGCGGTTTATTTTTATTGTTTATTCTCCCACCCAAAAAAAGGTATAGGTACTACCATACATAACAAGGTTTAAAGTATTGGCAAAGTCCAAGTTAACTCGGTCGAGTCGTATCCGCCCTAATAGTGGCTGATCCGATAACGATACACGTTACACCAATATAACGAGATTCGACTAAATTAGTTTTGACTCGGTTACAATTCGGTGGTATCGGCCTAACATGGAATTAAATCAGTTACTTGCCAAGTCGAACAAAGTCACACGAATATGATGCAAACAGATTTGAAAAATTCAAGCAGCAAAACCCCTAAAAAAAATAGAAAGGAAGAAAAAAAGGGACAAGATGCACTTGCATATTCATGAGTTCGGTTGAATTCGTAACGAAATCAGAAAATCAAAAGGGGATTTATATGAAACAAAATAAAAATCAGATACCGATCAGTTAAAAAACCACAAACATTCATCAACTTTTCAAACGCTAAATCAATGACAAAAAACAATCATCTAGCCCCAAATCACACATTTTTGGAATTATAAGAACGAAAGAAGAAGAATTGAAAGGATATGCAATAAGCACCCAAAAATCTTTATCTTTATCTTCATCTTTATTTTCATCTTCGTCTTCGTCTTCGTCTTCAGTCGCACAGTAGGAGAAGAGCTAGAAAGGCTCAGCATCATCCCTTTTATCTAGTAGAATGAAAGTTATCTCTGCTTTCATGATCAATGATCGCAATTGCCTCTTGGACCTCTCTCTCTCTCTTCGCATCTAAAATAGTAAATTCTACCATAGAATTTTGACTAGATGAGAGTATTGGACATTGGCCCTACCGGACCAAATAGTCAATACAAATAAGTTTATATATCTGTCGGTGAAAACCCTATTTAATTAGTATAAAATTAGATTATATGATTATTATATCTACAAATATATAAACTAAAATTTCTTTAAATTCTTATATATTCCGATACAAAATCAAAATAATTTTTCATTATTTTTTATATCTTGTTTAACTATAAAATGTGGTAATGATTATAGCTCGATATTTTTTTTAAATGCTTAAATTGAATAATCATCATGATAAATATTTTCGGCAACACCCTTATAATTCATTTTTTCCTATGTTTGATTATGTATTTTTGACATATGATCTATGGATGTTGTGTACATTTTTAAATAGTTTTCATAATTTTTTTAGAATTTTTTGAACTTCCTATCTAACATTTTAAGCATATTGGCCGATACCGTGTTGAGGTGCCACGACCAATGTGTATCAGTACTCTTCGAGTCGATGACCAATACTGCGACTTGAGCCATGGTCCATAGTCTCAAAAAATGTAAGTTAGTATTGATGTTACCTTTCGTGAGTTTGAATCCTTATTTTCTTCTCCCAAACCATCTCTTCAGAGGGAGGATCTTACTACAAAGGAAAAGATGGTATATTAGGAGATAAGAAGCACGGATACGGACACGGACACGGGTGTTGTATCCGATACGATACGGACACGGAGATACGACAAAGTTAAAAAATATGGAACACAAGTACAGTAAAGATACGACTATTAAAATAATATAATATATTTTTTAAATCTATTATATATTAAAAATAAAAAATATATTATAACAATATTAATAATAAGACCTACCAAATATTATTTTTTTATTAAAATTGAAATAGATCAAATTAAATATCCACCATTTTTATCAAATATCATTGCATCTATTAACATTCATAGTATATAAGTTACATAACAAAAACTATATTAAAAAAATAAAAATTACACTCCTTTTAATAGTTAAAAGTTATTTTTTAAATAAAAAAATTATTGGTCTATGTATTGGTCGTATCCTAGACATATCCTGGTCGTGTCCTAGACGTATCCTTACCGTGTCCGCCTGAATTTACTATTCAAGACACTTCTAGTCGTGTCCGTGTCGAACACGTGTCCGACACTGCCACGGCACCCCTGTGAGAAGTTTTTGTACTTCCTAGATTAGGAGTCTCTTTTTCATTTGCCTTACTAGTGGAATACTAAGAAGGGGAAGTAATATATTATTGGTACCAATGATCCACCTAATAGTCTGAAAGCTTCCTATTGTAGTTAGAAAGGGTGTTCAAGCTTATACTCAACACACTATCTCCAACCTCGTTTCTTATAATTCTGTCTCTATCTTATCATACATTTATTTTCTTGTTTGTCTTCTAGTTTTATTCTTCAAAGTTAGAAGGAAGCTCTCATTGATCCAAAATTGAGAGAAGCTATGGTAGACGAAATGAAAGCCCCGAAAAAGAATGACACATGAGAATTAGTTTCACTTCGTGCTATAGCAAAGGTAGTTGGGTGCAAATGGGTTTTCATTATCAAATAACAAGTTAACAAGACAGTTGAGAGATACAGGGCGGGGCGGGGCTGGTTGCTAAGGGATTCACTTAGACCAATCGCATTGATTATTAGGAGACCTTTGCCCCTACGGCAAAGATGAACTCCATATGTGCCCTTCTATTTTGTGCAGCTAATTTAGGGTGGAGTCTGTAGCAGTTAGATGTGAAGAATGTCTTTCTCTATGAAAACTTGGAGAAGGAGGTATATATGGAGACTCCACCTGATTTTTCATCTCAAGTAACTGCAGGATATGTGTATACGTTGAAGAAGTAACTTTATGAGTTAAAGCAAGCACTTAGAGCTTACTTTGACATCTTCCTCAAAGCCATGTTGAAATTACGATATAAATAGAGTCATGTTGATCATACTATGTTCATCAGATAGGTAGATAACAAGTTCTCATCCTATATGTGGATGATATAGTGATGACTATGAATGATGTGCATAAAATCACCAAACTAAAACCTTAGTTGGCTAAGGCGTTTGAAATCAAAGACTTGAGTCTATTGAGATACTTTCTTGAGATTAATGTTGCTAGATCAAATAAAGAAATTTTTATCTCCCAGAGAAAATATGACCTACTCAAAGAAACAAGTATGTTGTAATGTAGACTTACAGATTCTCTTATTGAAGTCAACCATCGACTAGGTAGTGGTGATAGAGATAATGTAATAAGGAGAGGTATCAAAGATTAGTGAAGAGATATATCTCTCATACTCAATCGGATATTGCTTATGCAGCAGGGACTGTAATATAATTCATGCATGATCCTCAAATCCCTCATCTTGAAATTGATTATTATATATTGATATATTTCAAGTCAGCTCCGAGGAAAGATATTTTCCTCTAATAATGGTCATTTGACGCTGAAGCATTCACTGATGTAAGTTGAACAAGTTCAGTGGATGACAGAAGATCCACTTTGTCATATAACGAAATAAAAAGCAAGCAGTGGTAGCAAGGTCAAGTGTAGAGGCTAAATACAGAGCAAAGGTAAATGGAGTTTGTGAGCTTATGTAGCTCCAAATTTTACTAGATGAGCTCAAAATTCATGATGATGGACCCATGAGACTGTACTGTGATAATGAGGCAACTATCAACATTGCACATAATCCAATTCAACGTGAATGTCAAAATTGATCAACACTTCATCAAAAGAGAAGCTTAACAATGGGTTTGATTTGAATGCCCTTTGTGAAATTAGAAAACCAACAAGCCAATGTTTAGGGGCTTAGTAACAAACTTTTTCATCCTATCGTTTATAAGTTGAGCATGAAAGATATTCATGCACTAACTTGAGGGAGAGTGTTATATTATGTTATGCTAAGATGTATTTCTAGGTTAAGGGTATATATAAATTTGAAGGGAAAATTACACTTCGACCCCTCAACTATGATCATTTTATCACTTTGCCCCCTCAACTATCAGGTTTTTGACATTGCACCGTCAACTATGTGATTAGTTTCATATTGTCCCAATTATTAACATCTATTACATATTTAACGAAAAGTTACTTCATTTTGTCCGCCGAAAAATATAATTTTTTTCACTTTACCTCAATACATTAGCAATTTTCATCCAAAAAGATAACAAACATTTGTAATAGGGGTAATTTGAAACAATCAAAGTAGTTGACGGGGTAATGAGAAAAATTCAATAGTTCAAGGGTCATAGTTGAGGGGGTCAAAGTGTAATTTACCCAAATTTGGATGTAACTGTGTAATCCTAACACACTACTCTCTTCCCATAATATTCACCCTTTCTCTCATTCTTCCGTATCTTTTTCAAACCCTCACTTCTTCATAATCTAACTCTCTTTCCCCTTCATAGGACTTTTTGGTACAACAACCAGGAACCACCAATTAATACAATGGGGTTAACTATGGATTACCTCAATTTGGTTTGGCCTAGTTATACATTACTTCCCTCTACTTTCAACACCTATATATAACACCTGTGATCTTGAGCTCGGTTCTTAACAATATTCTTTATATTGCCCAGTTCATCCTGGACTTCCATGATGCGATTTTCTCAATATTGGTTTAGAGGGTTTTGTGGAAGAGGAAGTCGATGGATGTGCCACCTTTCTCCACCCGTTCTATTGTGAGCCTCATCTTCTTACTCTGTCTAGGCTTGACTGTGACGAGTGTTTTCGCTAGAATGACTCCAACAGTCCTCCTAAATGACCCCACCAAGAGGTGGCTGGGGGTAGTTGATTATGGGGTTGCTGGGCAGTGAGGAGAGCGATGATTTGTTGGCTTTTCCTGAGACGACGCAACTTAATTTGCTGGTAGGTTTCAGGCTCCTCCACCAAAAGGCACAACATGGTTTGCTTGAACCTAAGTGAAAGTCTAACTTTGTTGACGAAAATCAAAATGACTGTTCTACCCCTCATCCTTCTTCTATTCTTCCACATCTTGCCCTTGTTTCACCACACACACACACAGATGCACCAGTTCTTCTTCCTTTTCTTCCCCTTTTTCTACCACATACACACACACACTAATGTACTGGTTCTTCAATGAAACACATAATCACAATTTCGGTCTCTCTTTCTTCTCATGTACACGCACATCCCGCACAAATATGGTCCCATGATCTGGGTCTTACCCTTATTATCACACTCGCTCACACACAGACCAATAATCTGGGTCTCCTCACCTCCTCAGTCACACATGCTAAAATAGACACTTCCCACACACCTTTTCGCACGCACGCACGCATGCACAGACCACACATATATAACTTTTTTCTTCTTTTTTTTCTGGGGTAAAAGGGATTTTTCACATATGTGTGTGTGTGTGTGTGTGTAAATATATGGATGCGTGTGTGAGAAGGCATGCAAAGGAGCATTTTGGTCATTAAAAGTTCAAATTTTGATAGGAAATAATTTCCTCAGCCCCCTCCCCCAACACTTTTCAGGCTTGTGTGGTTAAATTCTGGTCAGGTAGAATAAAATATCAATTCAGTCCAAAACGACAGAGGTTATGTGTAGGTTTCCAAAAGTATATGGAGAAATGTGTGACTTGGCCAAAACACTCCAAGGTAATTAATTCGTACTTAACCCTTTCAAGCCAATTGATCAAACCTTAAAAATTTCCGACAAAAGAGGCAACTAAAATAGCCTCCATTAATATTCATATTCATTTTCCTTAAGTGATCCAGTTTCAGATGCCAAAAGAGACAAGTTTATCTAGAAATGCCTATATCTCAACTGCACGAGGAGCTCTGACAACACGAACCCATCAAAGGGAGAACCAAAAAGACGGAATCCAAGATGGAGCCTTTTCCATCCAAGGCTGCCTATGGTCAAATAACAGTGGGCCAGGGCCTTGATATTAAGCACTTATGATTGATAATAAAAGTTGATGCCTAGTGAGGGAATAATGGTTGAATCAGTTGACTCTTAAAGGATATCTAGTTATGAAGGAAATGAGAACGGCTTGCTAGAATTAATGGATATTACAGAAAGCCAATGTTTTATGGGCTCAAAGGTGAACAACTATGGTCAGATTTTACGATCAAAGTGTTCAGATCCCAGGAATTAAAACAGAGTGATTCAAGAACTGGTTTTGGCTATTGACCATTGACTGCAAACAGCAATCATGGAAATTGAATAAAGAAGAGGACAGAGAAGACAAGAAATGACATGACAATAGGGAAGAACGTCAAAATCTCACCAAGACCTCTTACAAATCTCATCCAGAAAAGAACAACGAAGGCCCATGATTACTGTAATCGAAAAATTCCAGAGAAGCTTTCAGTTGACCAAACCTGTTTTGATTTGCTCTACGAGTCTTGCTCAGATAGCATTGTAGAAGGAAATAAAGGAACTGAAAATATGAATTTTGAGTTTTTGAGATGGCAATCTACCACAAAACAAGAAAACAACTAGCTACAAAAAAAAAGAAACTCGTACAGCTTTTCGTACCAGATGTGGGGTTTTCATTATTCTCCCCACGTGAAAGGTGGACTTCAGATTCAAACTGGCCTCAGAAGGCATTACAGAAAGCACTTCTTCCCAATCCACCTTAACAAAGCTGTCTTGTTTCAAACAAACCACTCACTGTGTAAAACTTCGTGAATCAATCAAAGCAACATCAGCAGAGATCCAACATACCATGACCATGAGGTGTACCAGAATGATGTTGACTGATGTGACTTCCAGGGAGGAAAAAAGTCAACAAAAAGTAAACGTCATGCACATTGGAGGCCTAGCTTAGTTCTTCCAAAGTTGAATCCCAAAAAAAAAGTTGTTTGAAGTTGGCTTGGCATAAGACATCAAGCAACCTCAGCCAGTGAGACAATCCATAGTATAGTAAGACCATTTCACTTAGTTTTCCTTCCGATGTGGAATTCCCTCACGTAATATCCCCACAATGCCAATGGTAAGAAAATTAGACAGGTAAAAACAGTGATTTAACTATTTTTCACTCCTATAAAGTGAAAAGATGTTACCTGATCAGCCACAGATTTAGCTAAATCAATTGCAAATTTCATGAAGGTGAAAACTAATTGAGCATCCTCTTCATTAAATCCAGTAATGCCGTCGATATTGCTGTGAATGTGGACAAAACAATAAGAAAGATCAATTGCAAATCAAGCCAGGTACAAATTATTGAATTGTATTGCAACTGAGAATCAAGTCCAACTGAAATAACCTCACCACACATTTTTGTCAACATCATAAAAAAACAGTGAGCCCATTCCAAGAACTCAAACAACATAATATATAGTATGACTGCATCCAATACAAGTCAACTCTGTGATTCAATGCCACAGATCTTTACAAGTATTAGCATACCAAGCTTACCCAAAATGTGAAAAATAAACAAACAAAAGTTAGTTGTAATGAAAGGGTATGGACAATTGATTTCGTGCTACATAAGCATTTTATAATTCACTAAAATTAAACCTTAGGGCTGTCTAAAAAGTGCACCAGCTCCATCTATCAGAGAGATTCACTCTATTCACCCTTGAGTTCAGAGCATAACCAATAAGTGATTGAGATTTTGCCCTCCTAACACAATTTGGGAGCTAGAATTTCCTCATGATCACGACTTCTTGATTTTACTCATTGCACTGCCTAGGTTTGTTGCTGAAGCTGAAAAGTTGCCAATGCCATTTAATATTAAAAAGCATATCAGTTCCATCCATTTACATCATCATTAATGCCAAAACCTGAACCGACCAGAACAAAGTTGTTATAAAATTTAAGACGGCTATATGGGGCCGGCAGAAATTTTAAGTAAAAAAAATGCTCTAAAAATCTGTCAACTAAAAAAAATAAAAATGCTCAGCAGAACTACAATATGAAATGTCCAAGTACAGCTACAACTAAAAACTAGCATGTAAATTTGTAAATTCACCTACATCAACCCAGCCTTGTCCCAATTATTTAAGGTTGGGTAAATGAATCATACTTCACAATTGTGATAAAATATCTCACTATCTCATTCAAAATTAATTTTGGTATATCTCTACCACTACCAATACAACTAATAGGCATCACACCACTCTTCCTCACGATGTAATAATAGATATTCTATAAGTGTGTCCAAACAAACTAAATCAATTCTCTCTTAATTTGTATGCTATTGGCGCTAGGTTTTACCACGCACTCATCTTAGCATGCTCATTTATGCTAAACTTAGTTTTTGAGTATGTTGTTTCTTCATTGCCCAACGGTTTGTGTCACGCACTAGATTTTCGAGGCTGATTAAATGTTTAAAGTGAATTTATAACTTGTAAAGGTTACATCTGCAATTGACTGAATTCCATAAGTCACATGAGTCAAGTCCACCTAGGTTTAAGCCAAGGGATTTGGAGACTAAGATAACTGAGCCAGATTCAGGGAGTTACTTGAAGAATTAAACAAAGATGGGATAAGATTTCAAACCCAACCCATTGCAATCACACACCAGTTAGGTATGGTAAGTTGACTTAAAGACCTAAATTTGACCACAAGCTTAATTTGGATTAAGATTTTATTCCAATTTAATTTATGTGATTTGTACTTAACCTCACCACATAATAATCAAAACGTTTTCTTAAAGTGCAATTAAAAGCTTAATAATGGACCATTAAAAAAAAAAGCCTTTGTAGGCTTAACCAAGGTTATTTAGATTGGTTTTAGAAGAATTCCAACAGTCGACGCTCGCTTGGCACTCTCTTTGCACTCGAGTAAAATGTATTGGTTCGTTTTTGAACATTCTAGTAGCTCATGCTTGCCACTAGCTTGCTTGAAGTTCAAGTAGTGTCAGGCATACTAAAGCAAGCATGCGCGCACTCAAGCAATTGTTGGAGAATCACAATCCGACCTTCCCTATCTTGGCTAGAACTATTTCCATGGGAACCAAAGCAAATAAAAGATAGAATATCAAAACTCCTCTATTTCGAGGTGTTTTGAAATGTTTCGGCACATTACTAACAATGTTGCAAAATAATTTGGTAACAAATTTTCAATTTTTTTTCTCTAGTTTCCTATTTACAATACATTTATGGTATCGTGATGACCAAAACTACGAAAAGAAACGAAATTTTTATCCTTGACCCATACCACACACCAATAATCTAGGCAACAGTGCAGCTCTAAAATAAGAGGGACTTCAGAAATAATTAAGAGACAAAGTTCAACTCACTACGTAGGTGGATGATATGAAGTTGGCCACAGCTTGCATTGTTCTTCCCATTCTTCTTTTGATGATGCAGCATATTCACAAACCTAAGATAAGTCAGAATCAAATGCAAAATGGTAATTGTAATATTAGGATAACTATTGTCCTACCTAAACACAGGGATTGTTGAAATACACATGAAATGATAAAAGTGAATTCACATAGATGTTGCTTATGCACATCCACTATACCAACAAGGGTTTTACAGTACCTCTTCCTAGAAACTCAAATATGGACATAGTTTTTAAGCCAATAATTCTGGTCCAAATCAACTCTCTAGGTAATCAAAAATTAGAACCCCATCTGAAGTTGTAACCCTAACAATTTCTTGACTTCGATGATTTTGAACACATTTTTATTTGTTGTGACTTGAATTTTTCTTCATAATTCAAATTTGGAACACTAGCTTTTACTACTACAAACATTTGTCTAGAATTATGGTTTGCTTTAGAACTCTTATTAGAATTATAAAATAATTATGATTTAACTATATGAATATAAAGTTTATGTCATATCATATAATAATAAAAGCGATCCAAAGAGGAGATATGAAAGGAACTGCGACCCAAAACAACATACCAACTAAGTCTACCTCATCACCCCCGTATCGGAAAAAATATTGTACCACATACTAAATCCACCCATAATCTAGGTAACATTGATCTAAACTAATATCATTACCCAGATACAGTACGATGAAGTGACCACACACATAGAAAAGAAAGATAGACAAAAAATAGCATATCACAAATAGAATGAACATGTAAAACACATATTACATAACCAAGACAGATCTTCTTGGCATAGTATCTAATGATACATTTTGATATAGTAGAAAAATGATATGTATCAACGAGTTATATCATTTTTCACAGTATAGTATGATACACGATCCGTATATTTCAATATGTTTTGACACATGGAAAAACCAATACATATAAGACCTTTTTAAATTTTTTACTCTAAATAGTGCAACAATTCCGTTTCGTAAAACTTTTTTTCCTGAAGTAGTGAAACAACGTTTTCTATAAGATATTTTTTACTTTTTTGGTTTAATCTAAAATATGCAAACCCCACAATCATCTTCCTCATTTGCGATCCTCTTATGTTTCTTATTATTCTTCTTCTTCAAATGGACAAAAATCTTACCATAATTCGATCTCTAAGGCGAGACAAAGGGTTGCCTCCCTTTCAATCTATGTTGCAAGCATGTATCGCATCAAATGATAAGTGAGTTGAAATATTATTTCCAACACTATATATTTATAGTTATATATATTTATTACTATATCGCTAAAATTTAAGAATATCTAACGATACATGACGTTACGCTACACGATACATTATTATTCAATAGTGATACATGTCGCGATACACGTATTGACAACCTTGCTTCTAGGGATGATGTTTTATGAGAGACATTTTTGATACATTCCAAGAATATCAACAGTCTCAGACAAAAACTTAGCTTGCAATGGTGCATATCACAATGAATAAAAATACATCTTTTCACTTGCTATGCAATTAATACTTTGTTCTTCTACGAACCGAATACCACTCCCAATAGTAAAAAGAGTATTTCTAAGCACAGCACGACATTAGAATACATATTTGAAGTACGCGTATTCTCAAAAGTTTATGTTGTTAAATTTTGCTCTACTGACCCTATTGAGACGTATCATTTGGTTGGATTGAAGGGATTTTGCTTACCTTAGAGTTAGACAATGTGTATTATCATCGCTAGTCCCCTTGCCTTTTTGGCCACTTAAGGCACTCATATTCTGGTCAAAGAGGTAAGGTTTTATGACCCATCTGCTTTGTAATTCCTTCGCTTTGATTCATAAACAAGTCAGAATGCCGAAATCGCTTACCACTAAGGTGGGTGAGAATTTGGCATCAAAGTCGATTCTAAAAAGGCAGCTTTTTCATAGAAAATTTAGAATTATCTCCTACAATTTTAATAGGCAGCAAACTCTCCTCAAAATCAACCTATTTCTCAGAATAAAAATGGTCCACAAAAGATAATTTTTTAGAAGGATAAAAAAAAAAAAAAGAATAACCCCATTTCTAATTTTGAGTGATCATTGTTGCTCCAATAAGAAATAAGCTAAGAAAGAATTGACTTATAGATAGTTTAAACATATAAAAGACATATTACTACACCAACGAAAGAGATAAGAGTGGTGTGATTCCTACTTGTTTACAATGCCCCAAATAGTTGAGACAAGACTTTGTTGGGTTTTTAATATTCACTCAGCGCATGAATAAAGAATAGTTGGCTCCATCTAACTAGCTAATAGAGGCCTCCCGGGGCTCTCAAACACCGCACAAAGGAAAAAAGAGATCATTCAATGTGTTTAGCGTTAAATGAAGGAAAAAAGAGATCATTCCCTGATCATTCACTGTGCTTAGCATTAAATGAAGAAAAAAAGAGACCATTCATTGTGTTTAGAGCTAAATGACAGGTAAATCTCTGCTACAATTACTCACAGGCCAACAAAGTACAACAAATTTCCTAAAAAGGCCCCAAAGCTGAATTGTGTAATTACTATGAATAGGGCTCCCATTGCTCTAGAGCGCATATGGAACTACTTCAAACAATCCAAATGTTTTGCAAACATTTATATGGCAGAAACTAAACCAACAAACTTCCCTTCAAAGAAATTCCATGATCATTCCTTTTGGTTACAAATCGTCATTCTCTCAAATTGGCTCTTAAAATCTATTGTAATTGACTAATTTCGTGAAGTTTTATTTAATGTCAACCTAATTTCAAGGTCATCAAGTTTCAAACATCAAGATCCACAAGAGACAAAGAAGGACAAGATCAAGTTTCAAACATCAAGATCAAGATGTCTTAAGAATTCCTCCATCAAAGTAATATACATAGTAATTTGGACAACAATTATAATATAGTGGTCCATTATGCAAGATCTCTATTCTAGAACTCAATAAAGAATCATTGAACTTTCTATGCATGTAGATCTTGTTAATAGTTCAACCGCCACTTGAACCACATTGATATTTCTTAGATCTTTGCCAATGTCGGTTACATCATATTCACGAATGTTTATTATCTTTGTGCTCCTAGTCAATGACCCATGGCTCGAGAACCCTATGGATCTAGTTCAAACAACCCAAATGGTCAGGAATTGTTTTTTTTTTTATTGTGAATCAATTGCTCTGTGCCAAAGAATTCACACATACCACCCTCACAAATAAGCAAAAAATTCCCCTTAAGTGTGCTTCGATGTTCATTAGACCAAGATCCATATGTCATCAGCCATATGAAAATGCAGTGTGAAAATAAATGTGGTCCCTCTCAAAACTATCACAGATTTTCTTATCTTAGTAATAGTTATGAAAATAAATGATTGCCCAATAACAAGTACCATAAAAACTAAATCTTATAAGACTTGGTAAAAAAATAAAATTAAAATAAGATTAAAGGATGACCCACTTTTGCCACAAAAGTACTCAACTGGAATGAATTGATAAGCTCGATCACAGCGCTTGGCATGCTATCCAACCGACAATCATTTTCACAAGCCAAACACAGGATCACAGATAACTGAGATTTCCCTGCCATATAAACCAACTGTCACCACCATATTCAAGAAAATATCCCGCATATCTAAAATATGCAAAAGTAAAGCAAGCATACACCACATAAGCACAAAGATTTTGTCCTTATTTTTCTATAATACTTACTAAGATGTACTGCCAACAAATAACCCTTATTCAAGAGTAGAATATATTGGCAACAGGCCTCCAGTTCCTGACTGGATGATTGAGACAAGTACAGTGCATGATCGATGTTTCAGCCAACATGCAAGCAAAGAACCATAAGAATATGTCAAACTTTTAGAAGCATGGCAGTCCTTCCTTGGCATTCTTCATTGCTAACAAGCTCCAAAAATCTAATGGAAAAATAGTCTCCCATCAAATTTTCTTTTGGCTTCATACTCGTTTGGAATTCATCAGTTGGTTCCACTAGTTACACAATAAACTTCTTACATGGGTTGAGATTGGAAATTGGATTGATGTATACATCTGAAAGTGAAGGCCTAAAACCGTGTAAATAACAATATGTCTAAATTAAGTTAAGAGCTGAGTCACATGATTCGTCCAGATCAGAGCTCTATCACTCCGCTCATGAATCCGCGCTTTCAGAGCGGATTCACCATGAATTCACGCATTCAAGTTATCAAATTCACGGATTCAAGTTTACGAATTCGGGAACTCGACTAAGCAAATCCACGTGATTGATACTAAGTTCGGCGAATTTGTCTAACCAAAATCATGTATTAAGATAACACAATTCACAAATTTATGAAGTAAATTCGTTGATTTAGGACGAATTAGCATGTTTGACACAGACCTAGTTCAAAAAATCCCCAAGATTTGCAGCATTGAACTGAGTTCTCAACATTGCTCTACCGACGATGAAAAAGAGATGGATATAAAGAAAGCACAATATTGCAAAGCCACATATTCAACCCTAAATCACAAAAAAAAAAAAAAAAAATTCCCATTCAATTTTACAATTGTTCAACCCAAAATCACAACCCTTTCGCAATTACACAAATAAAAGATGAAATTGAGATTATATGTGACACATACCAGTAAAATTGTTTCAGAATTACAATGAATAGAGGCCCCATTCTCCTACTTCATCTTCAACTTCGTTTTGCGAGTTTAGAAGGTAAAACCACAGAGCAACCCAACGACCCCAGTCCTTTCTGTAAAATCCAGGTAAATTTGAACTTTTTCTGAAAAAAGGTAAAATGGTAATTTGCCACTATAATGCGGGTTTAAAATCAGTATTTTTCTAAAGCTCGGATAATGCAACGGACCTCACCGTTGGATGCGTATCGTGAAATTGAGCTACCACGATAGTTTTTGACCAATTTTGAGATAGTCGAATTTTACACATTTTACGAGACAACTGGGTGACAAATGAAATTGGACAATAAGGTTTTTTTATTGAACAATGGGACCCACAAACCACTCACACTGGGCAATTGCTGATCAGGTGAGAGTAATGACATCGTTTGAATCTTACACATCTATGTCCGATTGACAATTATCAACTTAAAATGCCACTTTTAAACGTCCCCAAAAAAACAAAAATTATAAAATTTTCTTATAATTTGATGAAAGTTCAAATAAAATTAGTCTGAACTGAAACCAGAATTTAATTAAGTCGTTTTGGATTAAAAACGGACCCGAAAGTGATAAACGTGCTGGACAATGTGAACCGCATAATCAAAAAGTAGAAATAGGGCGAAATATCTGAAAAATCAGATATTTCTCACCCTTGGTTGGCTGTGTTCAGACGTTAGAAAAGAGAGAAGAGAGAAAATAGAAATTTCTACCTTTCTTCTTCAATCCAAGAAGTTCCGTCTGTCAAAATCGCTTGAACCAAGAATTAAAGTTGGTCTACGCGGCGAGGGCTACACGTACGTACCAAGAATAAAGAATTTCACCGAAGTTTCAAGGAAGAGATTTTAGAAAAATCAAAGGTTTGGGGCTTGGGAGTTGTTCTTGAGGTTTCTCCCTTTCTTTTACGCTCCAACAGGTAGGGGTTCTCCTACTTTGGTTCACTTCTACCCTAAGATGTTTTTATGAAATGGTTATATATGTAGAATATGTGTACCACTTGTTTATTGTTATGGAAATGAGAAAAAAGGGTGTAGAAATAGCTTAGGCCAAATTTTAGCTTGAATTTGACATGTGGGAGTTACTTGTGTAATCCTTGAAAATTGGTTTATGTGGGTATGTTGCATGTTCAAATTATGCCTTGTGATTGATTGTGTAATGTCATACTTGAGAATTATGTTGGGTATATAAATGTTGATATATGCTAGTTGATGTATTGACATGATAATGAAATTTGGTGATTATATACATGTGATATAAATTGTCATGACACATGTTGAGATGTGTGGTTTAATTTATCTCATTAGCATTCATTACAATTGAGCATGACATTGGTATTGCAATGGTTCATTACATTGCATGTGTATGAAGGCATCATATTCAAAAACTTAGGCATGAGTGTGAGTGTATGTCGGGTATGGTTTATTCAAACATCATACTTGATGGTTGATTGGTGGGCTCAAGAAAGTGGGATGGAACATCCTGCTGAGTCACACGGTTAAATGCATGAAAACTGTGTCAGGTATAGCAAGAAGGGATAGATCCCCCCTCGGGTGCAAGGCCCGGCTATTGGTTTATACACTTCCGACGGTGTAAGTCCAAAAAAGTGTATTGATGTGCGGAGTCAATGGTGCAACACCAAAAGTCCGCTACCCAAATAATGACACATGACTTTTGGTTATATAAATGATTCATTTGATAGGAAACATCCAGAAATGAATTGGTTTTTATGAACACATGAGTTTTGTTTTAAAACGATCTTTGGATTTATTTCATTAAAGATAAATATTTTACACACATACATTGCATAGCGTTGTGAATGCCGGCGTAGGCTTGGGCAAAAGAAATGCATAAGTGAGTCTCATCTCATATCATGACATGGCATGGAGGAATTTCATCTTGAATAGCATGTTCTTGGATGAAATGGAATTATGTTTGTGATTGTTGCATGAGACCATTGCATATGCACTTAGGTAAGGAGTAGCCTCTGTAGAAAATATTCTACTGGGCATTAGCTCACTCTATATGGAAAACATTTTAGGCGCGGGGTTAATACCAGTAGAGGACTCGCACTCGGGGCCTCGAGGGTAAAGAAAAGCCAGTTTGTGGCTTTTGGAGACAAACTTTTGTAAAACTTTGGTTAAATGCCGTTTTGACATGGAAATTATGCAAATGCATGTAATAGAACTCGTATACATGGTGTATAATGTAGAAAATTTCTTTATACATATTTTGGATGAAATTAGAAAAATGTTGGATGAATTGAAAAATAAAAATCTGATGAAGCATAAAATTCTGAGCAAAACCTTCCAGAAGGTTAATACAAACTTTTGGTCCAATAGGCAAAACCTTCCGGAAGGTCCATAAAACCTTCCAGAAGGTACATGTAAAATTTTTATCCAATGGACAAACATTCCGAAAGATAAGTAAACCTTCCGATAGAAATTAGTCCAATAGGTAAAACCTACCGGAAGATCCATAAAACCTTCCGGAAATTTTTCTAAAAATCTGAAATTTTAAGAATACATTGCCATGTTTTTGAGTTATGAGTCTTTTGACTCCAATGATATAAATGGACCTTAAATAAAATTCATTAAGGTATATTGAATCTCGATGGGATTAAATGATTAAAAGAAACACGGATCCTTGTGTGGGTCGTAATCCCAGTTACAGGGATGTGATAGACGTGATGTCGGGTTATGCGACAATCACAGGGTAATTCCGCAGGTCAACGGGACCCCCGGTTTTAGGGGCGTCACACCTTCATCCAATCGTCGACACTGTGATGAACACAATTCATCCCTCAGTTGTTTCTTCTTTTCTCTCTCTCTCTCTAAAGCTCGTAAAATAAAGAGTCAAATGACTTTATAGATATGAATCTCAATCTATTGTGCTTTTGATAAACAATCTTGTTTTAGTTAGATTTGGATCTTTTTTATGATTAATAGTTGGGTAAATAATATTATAATAGTGAACCTAATCACTTAATTAGTTTTAAACTTATGGTAATACTTTATTTTAAATTTTATTTCTACAATATTTCTCTATTTAGCAATAAAAATTCTTAAATAGTGTATCTTATAATTAAACTTGAATGGTAGTATGACGTTCTCGCTCTAAGAGTTTTTTGAATTTTGCCGCCCCCGCCTCCCGCCCCCGCTCCCGCTTTATGTGACTTAGGTTAAGAGAGTTTAACTTATTTTCTATAAAAAGAAGCTATTTTACGGATGAAAACTCTATACAATAAACACGGGGAACTCAAAGGCAACTAAATAATCAAGGAACAAAATTGCAGCTTAATCAAGGCCCACCAAAAACACATACATCAAACCAGCTCTAGGAGAATATACCCCTCGTAGACAATCATAAAGCCAAGGATAATATCAGGTTTAAATCATATTGGGCACTTATAACCAGCACCATGAGCAAAATTGAGAATCACCATGCAAAACAAAAGATGTCTATCTAATATTACACATTTCAACTTGAAAATATACCCCCCATAAACCACAAAAACAGTTTAGATTAACCCAAAATTGACCTAACAGTACACATTCACTCAACCCAAAGTTTTTCCAGCCAACTCTTTTCTCTTTCCTCCTCCCTAGCCCGTCAACCACACCTAAAACACTGCAGCCTCCCATCACCTGTCAAACCGACTCTCTCTCTCTCATGCCTCTTGACTTTTCGCCTCCCTCACATGGCTCAGAATCGTGTCTCTCTCACTCCCAACCTCCTTTTTTTCTCTCTCCCTTCCTCAACTCTCTCCCCCAATGGCCTTGCCACCTCCACAACACCTACATATGTTGTGATCGAACCACGAAAGCAATTATTTTAGAATATTTGAGCTTATCTAGGTTGGATATGAAATTGGTTAGGCATCACCCTTTTATTAAGAGATTTAGGGCTCACATATGTATACTTATTTAATTTTTGAGTTGTAAATTATGGGTAGATGGAAGTATATGTGGTTGGTTACGAATAGAGCACCCATGATGACGGACTCCTTGATGCAAATGATGGTATGAATAGTATTTAATCTTAGTCCATGATATATTATTTATATGGGACAAGATTATTTTAAGTTATATTGGAAACGTAGGATTCGGTCAAGAGTTTCCAAAGGGTACTCAATTGGAATCCCAGTCATACCCAATCTAAGGAGGGGTGGGTGTGATATTTGGCACTTGCTGGGAAACAATGGTTATGGAGATTCTTACAGAACGAAACTCATTGTGGTATTCTATCACCAAAGAAAATATGGTGCCCAGTCTGCGGGTGTTTGAAAGAATAGTGTTTCGATGCCCATGGAAAATTCATTTTTAAAGTTTTATCTTGGTCTCATCAAAATGTTAGAATAATAGTAAGTAACTAGGAAAGAATCCATTTTTCAAAGACTTTTTGGCTTGGGGATTTTTTTTTTTTTAAAGTTCGGTCATTTGGCACTTCATCCCCTATGATTCAAAAATCACGACATCACCTCCATTTGGTTTTGGACTAAACTACTACCGTTAACATATCGATCTGTAGTGACAAAAAGTATGATGCACGCGCTTAATTCATAAGTTGACATGTCAAAATTTGAAGTCAGTCAAATTGAATGTAAAAAGACAAATATGCTCATATAGATTTTGAAATCACTTTTAAAAAAACCTCCCGACAAGCCTCTTATGCATGGCGGTAGGCTCCAACTAGTGCAAGAATTTTACCACGAAACAATGTCGACCTAGTAGCTCTTTGCAAGGGAAGAGAAACAAAGTTAGGTGAATGTTGTATATGGAGAGTTAATGTCAAACAACTATCATGGGCACTTTCTAGAGTGTTGGCAGCTCCACCTCCCTCCCCTACCAACCAGCAGCTCTCCCTCCCCCATCTAATTGTGCCGCCACCTCCCCCGCCTCACCCAATTACGCCTCCACCTCCACCTCCACCTCATCCCATTTGCAACTGCTCCCCTTCCCTTCCCCACCCAACCATCTGCAATTTCACCTCCCATCTCCTCTCCCCCCCCCAACCCTTCGGCCCCTCTCTCTCTCTGTCTCTCCCCGACATCTATTTTCACAATAGAACCACAGTCAACTGCCACCACCCAAATTATAATCCCCTTCCTCAACTCCAATACACTAGTCACAGTCACCACCATAGTTGTCAAATCGCATATCGGAAGGAGTATCGTTTTTAAAAAATCGTATCGTATCATGTATCATAACATAGGCGCAATTGTTATTTTTAAATAATTATTAATATAATATATATATATATATATATATACACATTTGTAAAAAAGTCATAAACTCATAATAACATAACATTTCATTAATATTCTACCAATTATTCAAATTCCCAACACACTTCATTAATATCAATATGTAAAAACCTCTAATTCAAACTTTTAACATCACCTGCTTGAACAACTTTAATATTAATCAGAAATTTTGAATTCAATTGAACGAAATTAACAATAGACTTTATTTTATTTTTTTTAAACCATAATCACTGAAACGACGTTATTTCACTGGCTAGAGATTTAAAAAAAAGTCCTAAGGTAAAATAATGTCATTTCAGCCCCAAAAAACAAAACAAAATAAAAAAAAATCATCATGTATCAGACGCATCGTATCGTATCGTACGATACGATACAAAAACGATATAAAGATACAATCCGTATCGTTTTTTAAGTGTATCGTGACATATCGTACGATACGTATTGTGTATCATACGATACGTATAACTATAGTCACCACATTTATCACCACCACACACCAACAGCCTACACCTCCGCAACCAATAAAGAAAACAATTAACGGAAGAAACTCCACCGGCTAAAGCAGTTGGGTCTGTGATTTTCACAAAAACCACTTTTAGCAAATGAGTCCACAGCGATTTCAACCAAGTCCAACCTCTCTCTCTCTCTTGCAGCAGGCAGTGCTGCATGGGTTGCTGGTAAAAGAGATGACTCAATGAATCGTGGTGGGTGGTGGTTGTGGTGGGTTACAAGGCACGTGGGTGTGGGGTGGGTTTGGGTTGTTACTATGGTTGTGATAGATTGTGGTGGTGGCTTGGACTGGTTGTGTGTGCTTTGGGTAGTGTTGGTTTGTGTCGTGGCAGGTAGAAGAGTTAGGTTGTCTCTGATGTTTTAGGTGGTGTTGAGTTATGCCATTAGATGTGGAAAACTCTTCCCAAATGGATCTTCTTCAACCAATTTTTGATCTTGATCATGATTTGGGTGGTTAATAGAGCCACAAACAAATATTTTGATGTTTGATTTTCATTCGAATTCAATCCGTAGTGCATTGGCTTTGGCCAATGAGCATTGGCGCAACATTGGCATCTCTGTTTGAGTGCTAGTGCTACAGGCAAACAAAGAGGAAAAAAAGAAAGAGAGGGGTATAGATATTAAAGTCATTTTATACTTTCAATTGACAGTGTCAATGGTGCAAATTGGTCCAAAACCACTAGAATATTATGTGGTGATTTTTGAACCATTGGGGACCATACCACGAAATAAAATTGATTTTACCCTTCTCTTTTTCATTAGTTTCCTTGTATTTATCGTTTAGCCTAAATCCATAGTCTCAATTGCCCATATAATCGTGTCCTTTTCTATTCCAATCACATGGAACTTCAGTTTTTCTGTGAACCTAAATGATAGCAAAACTCATGAATTGTGCCCCTTATTTTCATTGCTTAACAAGGTTTCTATAAATCATATATCTTCTGATAAAAAAAGTTGGTTTATTGATTCATCATGCCTATTTTCTATTAAATCATATACCTTCTTTCATTCCTCGTTCCATTCCAATTGTTTGCCCATCTTTGATGATACAGAAGACAAAAGAGCATATTAAGGTTCAAATGTATGCTTGGATAATTGCTCATGGCAAGATAAATACTAGTTATTTGCTTCAAAAGAGAAGACCATATGCATGTTTATTGCCCCAGTGGTGCCATATGAAAGGACATGGATCACTTTTTCCTTCATTGTCTAGTTGCAATGGAGTCTTGTTTAAAGTTGGTTCAATAGGGTGATTACTAGATAATGTGTGTTTTTGCTTGAGAATGATTTCTGGGATCTTGCAAGAATAGGAGAGCTATCATTGTTGGAGGTGAGCAGTTTCAGAAATTTGCTAGGTGATTTGGTTGGAGAGAAATGCAGGGAATTTTGACAATAGAAGCAAACTAGGAGATTGTTTATGGCATGCCGTTCATTTTTTTAGCATATTAGTGAGCGTCGGTGACAAAAGAGCCAGAAGATATTCTTTTTTTTTGCATTTTTCAAGATTAAAGATTGTTGTGTCGAATTTAGAATTGTGATAATTGGAGAATTATTAAGTATTTTTTTTACTTAGAAGTGTGGACCCTTGATAAGATGTATTGTCCGCACTATGCATGTGATTCGTAATTTCTCGCTCTTTCCTCTGAATAAAGTTTTAGTACTAATCAAAAGAGTAAACAAAAAAAAATATATTGAGCATCATGCCTGAGTATGGGAATTTCTTCAGGGCCATGGACATTCCAACGGATACTTCAATGCCTAAAAAAGTTTTTCCTCACCCAACTGGATAAAATAGACTGCTCTGTATCGTAAAAAGAAATCTAAATACAATTGATTGTTTGTGGTTCTTTCCATTAATTAAAGTTTTTTACTCACAAGTCTCCTTCTTTACTAGTGTTTTCCAAGCTACTTCGGAGCAAACTTCAAACCAGTCCCGAACCAGCTCACAAAAATTAGCATTTGGTCCTTCCATTAATCCATGAAGCTAACTTTGCCAATGTTTGAATCTAAATCCGCCAATGTTTGAAGCTAACTCTGCCAATGTTTGAAGCAAACTCCGCCAGTGTTGGTATTCAACAATGCCTGTCCCAAGTCGGGATAAAGGAGGAGGGTTGTGTTAGGTAGCCGACAGCCTGGGTAAAACTTTGTCGGATCCACTATGATGAGTCCAAACAATAATATTACTCCATGAAGCTAGAAGAGATGGACTAGGTATAGGCCAGACATTAGGCTTTATTCACCTAAAATGATAGCGTTCCTATTCGAATTCACAATCGCCCAAACACTTCAGTGCCTAGAGCAAACCATAAAAACTCTCAAAAAATGGAGGCCTTGAGAGCAAGTCGAGCCTGCCCACACTACTTTGTCTGGGCTTGTCTTGTCCGTTCCTGTTGTGGTGTATCTCATATACCAGTAAGATACTCTAGAAGATTAGAATGTCATCATCATCAGTATGTATATACTTAGGAAATAAAACAAAATCTAAGAAGTGCTTTCTCAATCTTGTCCACCTAATGTCCAACTATTATCACGAACCTCTAAAACCCGTGGTTCCTGTGGACAGGTACTGGGTTTTATTTGATGCAATATTATCAGGTGATACTATGAATTGTAAATCTGGAGGTACCAAACTGCAAAAAGATGATGATGTTGTGTGTGTGTGAGAGAAAGAGGTGATAACAAAAATTACCTCCATCAAGACACTGTTTACGAACACGCTTAACATGGCGAAGATTTTCCAATGGTGCAATTTGATTTAATTTCCTAACAAAAAAGAAAAAAGAAAAACTTCTCATAATTGAAGAATATTTTTTTCCTTTGAAAAACGAAAAGATAGTCATGCAATTATGCACGAGAACATTTTTCTAGAGATAAAATCAGAAATTCAGAAAATAAACAGACAAAGGTCCATAGCATACACTTAGTGTAGGGAAAGACAAACCTTACAAGAGTGCTGGCAAGTTTAGGTTCAACAACTGTAGCATGTACATCCACGGTGGGTTGTAGATGAGGTGAAATGGGTGGCTTGTCTGGTATATGAACGATTTTACACCCACTCTTGCTCTTGTTCACCATAGTAGACAACCTATTTGTGAATTGCAAGTTGCATTAAACTGACAAGTTCAAGTATATCCAGCATTCAATTCATTAAGATCACTAGTGGGCAGATAAAACCCATTAACACCTCCCTATCAAAACCCAATTCAACACCGAAATACATCTTCTGATTGCCAAAAAAAAATCAAAACCCAAACCCACCACAACCACCAAACTAGCACAGACCCTCAACACTGGTGGACTGCCATCACCAATCTAGCACCACACACCACAAAACAGCACCGGACAAGAAGAAGAAAAAGTGGAAGCTGGACCAAAGTGTCTGTGGCGTTTGGCTTGTTCTTTTGACATGCAGAATCCAAGCTCTTTTGAACCAGAGACCGACACGCATTACGGTTGGCCGTGGTGGCGGGGAAGCATGGACACTGATTCCACTTGTTTCCAAGAGCACACATGCAGGGAGATAGGTAACGGAGGTGTTTAGTAGGGTTTAAGGGCATGGAAATGTTTGGCAACATGGGTTGTCTACCCATTTGCATATGGGTTGCTTGATAAGAAAATTAGAGTCGTACCGATTTTAATCTTATTTTGGTCTCGTGCTAAAGAGACAATAAATCTGAAGGAAGAATAGGATAAATTGCATCAATGGTAAATTAAAGTTCTAATTTTGTCAAAATTTAGTACTCAAAGTTCATGCTTTAAACCAATGTAGTCCCTCGTACTAACTGTAATTTAAATAATACCAAAACATCATCGCACACGCAAACACAATTCTCTCTCACACAAAACATGCACTCACAACGCAGCACTCTGACACACACAACAGTCTGTTTTTTCTCTTTCAAATTACTCTTTCTTCTCCCAACACATAGTCACCATAATATTTGTTTATCCCACCTCTCTCCAGCTCTCTCTCTCTCTGTCCCCCCCCCTGACCCAATCAAAATGGCACAACCATCTCCATCTCTGCCATAATCAAACCACCACAGATGCCCCGTCAAACAAGCACCAGTTAAACAAGCACCAGCAAGCACAGCCACCACAACTAACCCAAAACTGAGGGAATACAAAACCAATCCACAAAAAAATACCCTAAATCCATGAGTTTAAAATCAATCAATCCTTGAAATTTACAGTAAGCAAAACCCATGAAATCCACAAGCAACAAAAATTAATCGAAACCAAGAGAGAGAGAGATTGCGACAAAGAAACAGTCGGTGCGGCAAACGTGATTGTTGGTGTTGGTGTTAAGACACAAAAAGGACTCGGTGAAAAAGGGGGGGCAAAGTAGATATTATGTATTTCTTTTAAATATAATTATTCTGCATATAAATACTAGCAATTGTATGTACCTAAAGGCACTATACAAACATAAATGCATGAAAACTCTAAAAATTTAAACTAAATTTACAATAAATTCCTTTATATTAAAATTTTTCCCAATTTAATCACAACCCACAACATCCATATTCCACCAAATATAAACAATTAGTCAACTAATTTCACCCGACATATCCCAAAAAATTAGCAAAACATTCTACCTAGCAATCTAACCAACAAAGATGAGCAATATAGTATGGACATGGTTTTAACGTAGAGGTATCTCAAATATTCCAAGCTTGATTCAATCAGATGTCAAAATACATACACAATAAAACCTTTTGATCACTATGTGGCTATGTGCCTCTTATTCCAGCTTTCATATTTGACAAAAACATGCTTGTAGCACTGTACACATGAATATTTAGTGGCTTTATTGAACAACATTAAGAGAAACATTGAGATACTTACGATTTTCGGAACACAGCTTCCTCAACCTAACTTCAACCTTACAGCTTCTACTACAGTTGTCCTTGTGATACTCTAGATTCGAGCAATCTACATTTTGTTAAAAAAAAATAGTTACTATAAAGTGATTGCATTACAAATATTAGCAGCCTCAATAATCAATTGAGCAATACATTATTCCATGACATTTCGAATAAGAAATAAGGAAACCAAGATTGCAGCATGAAATATTAACTCTAAGATTATTAAGCAGCCACAAAAGTGCAATCAATAAAATAGCACAATCCATTGTCCTATACAAAAGTTTTACAGGAAAAAAGAACCACAACATGGGAGCATTTTGGTGCAATACCTGTAACAACAGGTCAAATTGCATATGTGCACAATTGAGTGTGGCATCATGATTGCACCTTGCAGTCAACATAATGATGTCAAATAATATATGCACTTCATATTAATTTCACCTTTCAGTAAATTAAACAAACACCTACTATGCACGACACCTAGCAAACTTGAAGACATGTTGCTTCACCTAATACGTAAAACTTGAATATGACACAATTAGCACAATGTAACAGTGCGATAAAGGCCATAGTTTATCAGTGCTTGATAACAAAAATAGGTACGTTGCTTAACCCAATAAATTCCCAATTCCAAAAATGCTCTTTGGAATTCATTAACTCACCTTTTTCAGGCTGCGAAGTTGGTCACCAAACATTCAGTACCCAAGGAAGGTCTTCTTAAATTCAATCAAATCTACAATATTAATAAACACATAAAAAAGAACATGAATCTGTGTATGTGAGTGTCAATAGCCCGTGTGTCTGTGTGAATCCATATAGATCTGTTATGCACCTGGGAATAAAATACACCACAACAAATCAACCAAATCACAACCCAACCACCATGAAATACACCACAAATCTACCATTTGTTTGCACTGCGAGCAACAAATATTTGACAAAAGAAGACGGCAGCAAAAGGGCAATCCAAGAGACATCTAACCCATAGAAATCCACACCCACCCTTACCATCACCGCTGGACAATCTGGGTGAAGAAAGAGAGTCGGAGATTAACAGATAGAAGAGACTGCGTATTTGTGTGAGCTGCTGGGACGATATCAGAGAGAGGGAGAGAAAATGGGCGTGTGAGAGTGTGTGAATCAATTCGAGTGCATCGAATCGGGGTGCTATGCGTGGTTTGTTCGACAGTGGTAGACTGAGGTGTCTGCATGTGCACTAGAGAGAAGGAATACAGTAGAAGTGAGGGAAATGAGAGAGAAGAAAATGAGAGAAGCAGAGAGGGAGAGAGATACCTGGAGAGAAAAGCGAGATCAGGTCGTTGCTGCCGGCGTCACTGGTGCCGGCGTCGTTGGGGTGGTGTGCGCAAGAGGGAGAGAGGCGAAGGAAAACAGAAGAGTGACGGGGGAGGGAAAGAAAGAAGGGAAAGAAAATATTGCAGGTAAGTGTGACGGTGGAATCACCCTGACGTTACGTTACCAATCAATTATCTATATATTTATATTATATTATAGGGTTAATTGCAAGTAACACCCGAAAGATAGTAGGAATCTTAATTTGTACTCTTAAAGATTAAAAATCTTAATTTATACCCTTAAAGATAGAAATTTGTATCAATGTGCACCCCCAAAGATAAAAATCTCAATTTACACCCTCAAAGATATAAATTTTTATTAATGTGCACCTAAAATGAAATTGATAAATTATACATAAATTCTCTCATACTTGTCACTTAATCATTTGAACCTCTTCACATTTAGAATATTATTCTAATATCTCATGACGTTTGTGTACGTATAACATGTAATCTTTTTTCATTGATATCTGTTAATATAACCGTTAAAAAATATGATTTTATCCTAATAAAAAATTATAATTTCATATTACCATTTATTTTGTGGGTTTGATATACTCTAACGTTCAAAATCAAGTTTATCATTGGACATTATAATTTTTTATTAGAATAAAATTATATTTTTTAACGGTTATATTAACAGATATTAATGAAAGGGGATTACGTGTTACACGTGCACAAACGTTATGAGATATAGGAGTAATATTCTAAATGTGAAATGGTCCAAATGATTAAGTGACAAACATGAGGGAATCTAGGTATAATTTATTAATTTAGTTTTAGGTGCACATTGATATAAATTTCTATCTTTGAGGGTGCAAATTGAGATTTTTATCTTTGGGGGTGCACATTGATATAAATTTCTATCTTTAAGGGTATAAATTAAAATTTTTGATATTTTGAGGTACAAATTGAGAGTGCAACTTGCAATTAACCCTATATTATATTATACTACTTATAAATGTTAGCATCAATAAAAAAAACTTTTGATTTTCTAATTTACCCCTAATTATTATCATAAGTCAATTATATCCATATATTTTTGAGTTTTTCATACATGTTCGACTTCCAAAGTATTAGCTAGATCAACTTTATTTCTATGACTTGCAAGATGAACTTTATTTCTATGACTTGCAAGATAAACTTTATTTCTATGACTTGTCATTGTCATACATTATTCTTCCAAAGTATTAGTTAAATAAATTTTATCTCTATAACTTACTAGATAAACTTTATCTCTATGATTTACCAATACATTCTTCTTTTTCCATTCAATTCAACAAACTCAACTAGAATTATAATACTACATGAGAAAAAATTGCTAATTTCTAGGTGATAAACACGACCATTCATTAATCTATTGGAAATTCATTATTCATTGGTATATAATAAAAAATTAGATGAGTACAAGAGTTAAGAATCAAACCCATTTATTTTTTTGTCTTTCATACCTATTTGACTTCCAATATATTTTGAACTCCTTAATTAGAAGCATATATATAGCTAGATAGAATTCTAAAATCACATGACAAATGATTTATACTACTTATAAATGTCAGCATCAATGAAAAATTTTTGATTTGCTATTTTACCTCTAATTATTACCATAAATTCAATTATACCCATATTAGGGATAACCCGTATCTGAAGGCACGGTGCAATTCAAAAAACATCGAGCACTAAATTTGGACACGAAATAATTAAGCACTGAACTCGGACGTGTACTAAGCTGAAAGCCTACACTGTCCCCATAATTCGTGCCTGAAATTATGCAATTAAAAAAAAAAAATTACATTGTTCTTAAAAAAGAACACAATCAAACACTTAACATAAACACACTAGAAATAAACAAACACTGAATATTAATCGTGAACACGAAATAATCAAGTATTAAAATTGGATCGACACTAAGTTGAAAGCCTAAAATGCATCCTCATTTTACATAAATGATTAACAAAGTATTACCTATATGAGAAATAAAAATTCTAATAATAAATCGCGACAACCATTTTTTTTTTAAAATAGACAAAACCCGAACCTGAAAAATATCTAAAAATTTCAACCAGTATGTACAATTTATATTCTTATTTTATACCAACTAAAGATCAACCGTTCAAATGTCAAGTTCACCAAGAATGCATGTTAGAGGATAATAATGAAAAAAAAACACTCAATCAACAAAACTACGCAATTTTAGAAAAAACATAAGACACTCGTACATGCTGACAACAAATAAATGTTATTAACATTGTGGAAATTTGAATTTATTTACATAGTTTATTCATATAATTTGAGTTGAAAATTACCAATTAAAACCCCTTAAATACATACAATCACAACCCAATTTTGCTAAAAACACACAAAAAACTTGAGAAAACCCTAATTTCAGCATTACGTTCAATTATGACATCGAATACCTATCTCCAATTTTTACCCCCAATTGAAGTTTTCAAATCAAAATATCTACAACTATTTATAGGCAGATGTAGATAGCAAACTGTCAAAAGAAAAGGAGATGGAACCTAAGTCCCACTCAGGAACAGATTACTTGCTCAATCAGCTCTCTGTGAAAAAAGATTTCCCAATAAAACTCTATGAAAATAGTATTTTAGCAACTTTCAAGACCTTTTCTATTTGTTTTTTTCAATTCATTCCAAATTGATTACATCAAATGCATATTTAGCCACTACAACCGTCAACCCATCCCCACCCATAATAAAAAAAATAATAATTCAGAAACCCTACCCCCCCCCATTTCATCTGAACCACCAACGTCTAACCCCACACCATTGTCGCCTCTAACATAAAAAGTTAGATGTGTTCCAGTTAGAGAAACCAGACAAACGGTTGTCGAACAAACCAGATAAGATCAAAAAAATTGTATCATGAGTACCAGTCGGAGAACCGAGAGAGAGAGAGGTCTGAGCAAAGTCACATATATCACTAACCTTCGTCGTAATTGTATACTAGTCAAGGAGAGAGAGAGAGAAAAAACGTATACCTCGTTCCGATGAATCGCCTGGTTGGAGTGTGAAGCAGCGCTTTGCTTCAACGAAGACGTGTGACTAAGAATGAAGATCAGTTGGGCCTTTAGTCCAAAAAAATAGAGTAAATTTGTGAAAGGATCCACTTATTCTCTCAACCTGAATCATAACCCACGGTGATTGATGATGCACAAAATGATTTTGCACACCACCTGTCAAGTGTGAATAATAAATGCAATAAATAATATAAGGAGATGGAGAGACACAAACAATTTATAGTGGTTCAGTCAACTCGACCTACGTCAACTTTTGAATGGCTCTGATCGTCAAGTACTTTATTAACTCAAGGGTGTGGGGATCAGAGAGTACAAGTTTTTTGGGAAATAAGAGAGTCGTGCTCAAGTAAAAAGAAATCTGCCCCAGTGTTGGTGGGGCTTACAATTTATAATCGCCCTACTAATAGATTTGGGCAAGATATTAGTAAGTAGTTGGCTAGTTTGTTAGATTTGGCGAGCTCTTCTCAATGTGCTAGGTAGTTGCGGTGCTCTCCATGAGATTCGATCACAGGATGAGGTGGAGTGTTGACCATCTCCAGGGCAGTGAGGATAAGACTTTGGATGACCTTGCTTGCTCCCTTAGCTTCTTGAGCTGCTGAGCTTGACCGGGCTGACCACACTGATGAGCTTGACCGAGTTGGCCACACTAGGCTGGATTAGCTGGATCTCTTGGGGTTAGACTATAAACTTCAATTGGGCATATAACATGAGTTGGACCTTTGGGCTTGACCCATCATTTGTCTTCCAATGCCTTGTGTCCGATGAGACTTGGAAAGGAGGGCATTTGATTAAGTTTGAATTTTTAACTGACCGACACAATCGAAAAAACTTCAGAAGGTCAAAACATCTGCTTCCAAGTCTTTTTTGGATTTTTTACAAAATCACTCACAATTAAACGTTATGTGTGTTGTAGGGCTCGTTGAAAACTTTGATTTGATATATTGCAAGCCTCATTTGGAGTAATGGAGCAAAATTTACGGTTAAAATTTTGAGCAGAGAGCTAGGCAAGCAGTTTGGACGAGCTGGGCACTGTTCTGGGCGAGCAGATTTTTTTTTTTTTTTTAAATTTTGGGAGGCCAAAACATTTATTTCTTGTAGGGCTCGTTGAGAGCTTCGATTTGACATATAATAAGCCCATGTTTGAAGTTACAGAATAAAATTTACGGTCAAAACTTTGAGCAAGCAGATAGGCCCGCGTTTAGGGCGAGTAAACAGTGTTTTGGGCGAGACTAGGGCTTCCTTGGGTGACTTGGGGAAGCCTTAGGCTCTTTGGGCGAGCCTGGGGTGTCTTGGGCGAGATGGGCAGTAGTCTGGCACCAATCTGGGCTGCCTGGGCGCTATTAATGTTGTCCTAGACAGCTTGGGCGTGATGGGCAGCGGCCTAGGTGCCAATCTGGGCTGTCTGGGTGCTGATAATGCAGTCCTAGATAGCTTGGGCGCGATGGGCAGCAGCCTAGGCACTGATAATGCTGTCATGGA